CCCCCCCCCCCCCGTATAAGGGTGGCCTTGGCAGTGGGACTGAGGCAGGAGGGCTCATGGGGCAGACACCCAAGGAGCAGCACCACTCCTGATTACTGGAAACTGTTGAGGTGTGTCCTTTAGTTTCGCCTCTTCTGGGATGTGCCACCCACATATTTGGTAACTTCCTCCCTGCCCTTCAAGGGCCAATTCCTCGGTGTGTGTTCCGATTGGCACGCAAGGCACGATGAAAGCGGAGCGTGGGCCCTCATGACTTTCCCCTGTGCTTCCTAAGTGTGGTGTGTCGCACATCACAACCACACGTACGCAGAGCATGGAGACCATGGTGTGTGTCCACGGGCAGCTTGCAAACTATTTGGGCAATCGATTGGTGGATTGTTTTAAAAGGAGAGCAGCGTTCTCCGGGGCATTTCTCGTTAGCTTGCTCTTATTTGCAGCTGGGGAATCCAGGGGAGGGGTTGGCGTGGATTCGTGGCTTCTCTTTCCAGCCACAAAGCTTTGGCCATGGTCAACCGATCTTCTGGATCCGCTTTCAGGGAGACCCCCTGCAAGAGAAGCACTGAGCGTTGGCGGACTGGTCCATGGCCCATCCGTTCAGCTGCTGGCCCCAGTGCAAATATTCTGCAGCCTGTAATGATCGTAACCCTCACGATGGACCTGTCTGTGGCTCCCTTGGTTTTCCTGCCTTTCCCAATGGCTGTGAACTTGAGGGGTCCTTGGTGCTCTCTGGGTTTGGTGCTTCTTATGCAGGCGTTTCGTTACCTAAACTAGGTCACTTGGGCTTGAAGGGTTTCCTCTCAGTTTTCTCCCTCTCTCTCTCTCTCCCTCTCAGCTGACCGCAAACCCCAATCCTTCCTAGCCCTGATGGTGTTGCCTAGTTTGAGTAGTGAAACATAAAACCCCCAAGCACAGAGAGCAACCAAGGACCCTGAGCTACAAATATTCTCCTGTGCTGTCTATTCACTTGCTTTATTTCTGCCCTGCTCTTCCTACTGCCGTGTATCGTAAGCCATCCTCCTCTCCCCGCACAGTCAAAGACAGAATTCTCAGCGAACCGTGAACTCGCCTTACCTAACGTTCAAAAATTGTAAACATTAATTCTAGTTTGTTTATGCAAATAGCCATTTTTCATGTATCTCTTTTGCAAAGCACCTTAAGTATCCAACCTGTTGGTCACTTTTTCCTGCTGTCGGTTTAATTCAGTTGGCCAATTCAGCTGGAAACCCCCTCCCCTCCCCCAAGGAGCCCCCCCAGTCGAGGAGCCTCCTGTGGCTACTGAGGCGCTGCTGAGTCTAACCGCTTGTCTTGCCTGACTTTGCAGGTCGCAGTCCTTCTCCTCTTCGCCGTCTCCTTCTCCCACGCCATCTCCACACAAGCCTCCTCCCAAAGTCAAAGGGGAATCTGCAGTCCTGGCTGGAAAGGGGTAAGAAAGGGGACCTGGCAGCCTCCCCATCCTTCAGGGGTGCCCAACGGAGGACAGTCGGGGTGACAGTAAAGCCGGCAGAATCCTTACACACCTTCCAGCCCAACCACTCGGAACCCAGAGGATAATTCTGCCCACTGCATTTCTGAAATGTGGTTTTGGAGCTCGGACATGGGCCAAAGGGGGCAGCCAGAATGACCCAGCATTGTGCCCTTCCATGCCAAGGCTGGCCGTTCACATCGTAATTATATTTTCCTCTTATCAGCCTAAATATCAGCCTAAATCTCACTATGATCCAACACCCTTCTTGTCTTGTTGGACTTACGAAGAGGACCTGGTCCAAGATGGGGGTTTTGGCTAACAGGATTTGAATCCGGTTGATCCGTTTTTTTAACGACCCATTGCACTGATTTTTTTTCTCTTTCTTCCAGTTTTTGAGAGGCCACCTAAATTCTATTTGGCCGTTCCAAGAACCAATTTTTCCTGTTGTGGTTCATAAAATAACAGTCCAGGGCCCTTTACATTATATTTGTCTTATTTATAGGCCGGTCACTTTAGTCCTTATAGCAGGAAAAAAAAAGGTCTGGTAAGGGTTACCAGAGATGGCAACGTATCTGTTTTAACCTTGGTCACTCAGTGCTGGGCTTCCTCATCCGATTTCTCTGTCACCCTCCTTCAGTGAAAAGCTTGTGAAGAAACTCCTTGCCCCACCAGCACCTCCACCGGTGGCGAAAGTTGCCCCCTCTGCCCCAGAGCCAGCCAAACCAGGGGACAACAGGGAGGCAAGGCGGAAGGAGCGGCAAGCGAGGACCCCTCCCAGAAGGTAGGCGGGGGGGGGTGTCATTCTGGAGTGGGGCTCCAGTGGGCAGGTCCCCCATGGCCTCGCTGGAAGGACCGCGGCTCCCGCGGTCGCTTCGTAGAACACCGAGACGTGGGCCTTTCGGGTCTCAAGGGGCTCTCGGAAGCAGCGTGGGCCTGTTCCTGGCCCAGGGAGACCTGGAGGGTTAGTTAGCCAGATCTCACCCGCAAACGTGTTCTAAAGCAGTAGCCCCAGGGGAGATGGGTTGGCTTCCCCACCGCCCGCTGTAGGCAGTGCCCGCTTTGAGTCCTTTGCTCCACTTGCTCTGTGACGCGGCAAACGGCCCCTTCCTCTTAAGCGGTGGGATTCCTGAAAGACCCTTCGGGACGCCTGCACTGGGAAAGCTTCTCGGTGCCCCCCCTGCCTGGGCTGGTCCGCTTGTCCCCAAGGGCTGAAAGGACGGGAGGAGGGTCCCCCCGTGCCCACCTTAAGCGGGGATTCTCTTGGCCGCAGGCGGGCCGTCAGTTGCAGCGGCAGCAGTTACAGCGGGTCCAGCTCTCACTCGAGGTCCCTGTCCCGGTCCCTGTCGCGGTCCTCCTCAGCCTCGCTCTCCCCGTCTCCATCCGGGTCCAGGAAATCCAGGTAAGAGGTCTGGAGGCGGGAAGCGCCAGTTGGTGGCCTCTGCCGAGCGCTAAGCCCGCTGCTTCGTGGTTTGGGGGCCCTGTGACTTCCCTCCCTCGAGCCCCTCCTCCTCCACTGGATCCCCCCCCCCCAGGGCAGGAGGACGGGCTCAGAGCGGGGCCGGCTCTTCCATGCGGGCCGGGTGAAGCTCTCGGTGCGGCTGAAAGGAAGAAGCAGGCGCTAACGGTCTCTGCCCTCCTCTCTCCTCCCGGCCCGTCAGGTCTCTGAGTGTCAGCAGCGTCTCTTCCGCCTCCAGTGCCTCCTCCAGCAGCAGCTCGGTCCGGAGCGCCGACTCGGAAGACATGTACGCGGACCTGGCCAGCCCGGTGTCTTCGGCTAGCTCCCGGTCCCCGACCCCCGCCCAGCAGAAGAAAGAAAGGGGTACGGCGTCTCCAGGCTCCTCCCCGGGGTCCACTCCCGCTTTCCTGGCCAAGCCGGGTCCAGGGGTGACGCCTACGGCAGGGGCCTCCTCCTCCTCCTCCTCGAGAGGCTTCGGGTGCACCTCGTTCTTCGCCCTGCGGTAGAAACGCTGCGCAGAGCCCAGGAGGGGCCCCTGGTGTTTGGGAAGCCGCCCTTCTCCCCCCTGCCAAGGCCGTGGGCCCAGCCCTGGGCAGTCGGGGGCCTCACGATGGGGGCAGGAAGGTTGTCCAAGGACTTGGGGGGAGGATGCTCTGATGGACTCTTCTGGGGGCTGATCCGTTCCCCAATTGAAACAGAACGGAAGGCCAGCAATAAAACCTGATCTGGATTCCAGCCCCGGTTCAAAATGCCGGGAGAACTTTTGTAGGAAAGGAAATGGCCCCAGCCCCCCCGAATCCACATGGGGACCCCAGAGCGGGAGGCCTCCTCTGGGCGGCCGAGCGGTGGCTTCCTTGCGATGGAGCCCCCTGAGCCTCCCCAGGCTGCCCCCGGCCCCCTTGCCCTGAACTGCCCGGCGTTTCTCGCAGGAAAGGCCAAGAAAGAGAGCGGCCCGAAGGAGGAGAAGCGGAAGCGAGACGTCCCAGCGCAGCCGGCCAAATCCGCCAAGCCAGCCTCGGGGGGGAAGTCTCAGCAGCCTCCCGCCCCTCACCCGCCCTCCCAGGCCCAGCCTGCTGGCTTCAGCGCCCACAAGGAAATCAAGCTCACCCTACTGAACAAGGTAAGGCCCTTGGGAAAGCGCCTGGATCCTCCCCTCCTCCTCCTCCTCCTCCTCCCCCAGCTGATGGGGTGGCCTCCCTGGGAAATCCTCAACCGCTGCCCAGGGGTGGGCAAGGCAGGAAGAGCGGGGGGGGGGCTCAGTTTGTGCCTTCCCTCTGCGGGGGGGGGGGGGGGGGGCCTCTCCCGATAGGATGGGCCTGCACATCAAACTCTCGCCTCGAGCGACGTCTGCTCCCTTCACTGCCCCCAGCTGGAGTTGAGGGTCTTCGGTCTCTAGGGGAGGCCTGGGGGGGGGGGCCCCCCGGGCAGAGCCAGTGCTTCACCAGGCCAGCCGGCCGGCCGGCATCCCTCTGCCCACCTCCTCGGGGCAGGGACCTGGCTTTGCCGTGATCCCTTCCGCTCTGCTTTTAGGCGGCTGACAAGAACAGCAGTCGGAAGCGGTACGAGCCCTCCGACAAGGACCGGCAGGCTTCTCCCCCGACCAAGAGGATCAACCTGTCTCCAGGTGAGGAGCCGGGACTCGGCTGCAGGTTTGAGGACCCCCCTCCCTCCCTTCCCGTCCCTTGGTTCTGCCTGAGAGCAGCGTGCTTTCTGTTTGCTCTTCTAGCCGCGCTCTGAGCCAGCTGCATCCTGCCCAGGGCAGAGTTCAGGAGTCGGGGAGGGGTGTGTGTGTGTCTGTGTGTGTGTGTGTGTGTAAGGGAAGTGCCAGGCCTTTGTCTGCAGCCATCCTCCTCCTGCAAACAGGTGAAGCAAGAGAGCGTCTCGGCGGGCGGGGCTGCCTAATCCACTCGACTAGCCGAAGCCGGAGGGTTGATGCCTCGTAGCCTTGAGAACGGCAGGCTGCCCAGAAGGCTTCGGAGGGGACCCGTGTGGTCCTTGACAAAGCAGGCCGGGCTCACTTACAGATCTCTCCCGAGGGATGATGCCCTTGTGTTAGTCGGCTTGCCTGGCACCACTCAGCACCTGCTGTTGCTCATGCCCCCTCAGGCCCAGCCCTGTTGCTAAAGCCCAGGCTCTCCTCCCGGGTGCCAAGCACAGTGCCACATTCCTGTTGCTGATCTTGCCACCTGAAAAATGTGTTGTGTAAATCTAAACCGGTGTCTCTGAAAGACCGGGAATGGAAAATCCCCAGTGCACCTCACACCTCTGCCTTGAACTCTGGGCTTGTCCTCTCTCTCTCCTTTTCTCTCTCTCTCCTTCTCTCTCTCTCTCTCTCTCTCTCAGTTTCGGCTTTTCTCCGGCCCTGTGAGATAGGATTGTTGGCCTACCTTACAGAGTTGTTGTAAAGACTTCTGGGAACGTAGCTCAAGCGTGGCTGGCATTTTAAGCCATTACAAGCCATTATTGTTAGCCTGGACTTGGCCTCTTCTCTGTGTCTCCTCCCCATTCCCTCCTGCCCTCCTGCTGCCGATGCCCTTCAAAAGCTCACCTGTGCCCAAGTACCAGCCGGCCAGTCTCTTTGTGTCAATATGCTCTCACCTCATCCGGTTCCTGGAGAGGTAATGGGTAGAAGGAGCGACCTTGAGGAAGTGGAGGAAAAGCCACTTCCAGGGCACCAGTCAGGTAGAAGGAACCAGAGTCGGGGGCCAGAATTGTAACCCGGAAGAACGTCATGGGCCCAGACCCTCCCTGGTTCCCCCAAAGATCAAAGGGAGGGGGGTGCATTCAGACCTAGGGCTATAGTAGGAAAAGGGGCCCTTAGCTTGCCTGGTTTAGGCTCCCTAGCCTGCTCTGCCTCGAAGGGAGGACGACGTCAGCTCCAAGCCCCTCGGCTAACGTTTCTTTCCTCTCAGGTGCTCGCGACCGGAAACTCACCGGAAGGCTCTCCTCTCCCAAACAGGACCGTCAGCGGGGGCCCAACCCGAAGCCCTCCCCAGCCCAGGCTGATAAGTGAGTTCCGCTCCGTCTTCTCAGTCCAGTTGGCCCGGTTGCCCCTCGAGCGCCCTCAGGGCTGCCTGGCTGGGGGGTCTCGCACGGTTGAGGGAGATCTGCTCCCCTCTGCAGTCCAGACCGAGAAGGAGCCGTCCCGGAAAGCCTCATGGAGCCGTCCCGCGGGGGAATCGCCCAGGGCGCTTGGAGGGCCTGAAGCAGCTCCAGGGGGCGGGGGGGGGGTCTCGACCCTGCTGGCCGGAGGGGGTTCTTACCAGCCCCGTGAGAGAGAGAGACGGCCGGCCAGGGGTTTCCTCTTGTGGGCTTTGGGGGACTATTAGCAGCAGATTACGGGGGGAAGGGGGGGGGGGGGGGTGCCGTCTTCCTCACCCCCTAATGAACCAGCGGAGTTCTCCTTTCGTTCTGTGGTGTCGGGACGTTTGCCTGGGATGCCCAAACCACCCAAGTTTAGTTGCATAAGAAAATGGTCTTTTTTTTCCCCTCTTTTTTTAATCAAAAGCCCAAATCAGGGCTGGCTTTTCATTACTGGCAGTCCTTGAGACCACACTTGGGACCGGGGTTTCAGTCACTAAGCAAGCCATTGGGGTGACCAGGCCTGATTTTATTCTCTTTTTTTTTTATCGCAGTCATTAAATGAATCATGCGGTCATTACACGAATCTGTCTTCCGCCATGGACTTGGGGGGTCAGAAGTCAGCCGGGAAGGTCACAAATCACAATTGTGTGACTGAAAAATGCTGCCCCCCCCCCTTGTGAGACGGTTGCCAAGCGACCACCACGTGATCACAGTGTGATTGCAGTGCTGGTGCGATGGTCATAACTTTGAGGATGGCTTGCAAGTCGCTGTTTCCGAGGCCATCACAGCTTCCAACTGTTGTTAAACGATCAGTCATAACTGGAGGCCACCTGGGCTCCCTCTCTCCCTGGCAAAGCAGCCCTGGCATTTCTGACCCTCGGCTTAGTCATCGGCTGATTGGGTCACCGATTTAGTCGTTCCGGTGTGTCACGTGAAGAAAAATGTCTGAACGTGTGACGTTCCCTTGCATTAGTCACCGTTATCTGGAGCAGGGATCTCTCCAACCTGGGCCACTTTTAAGACTTGTGAACTTCCAGAAATTCCCCAGCCAGCAAAGCTGTTGAAGTCCACAAGTCTTAAAGTGGCCAAGTTGGAGACCCCAGATCTGGAGCATCCGTTGGTTCATCGACGACCCGCAACCAAGTCAGTTGAAACGCAAACTCAGATCTCTGCTTCGAGCAGTTTTGCTGCCTGCTGGCCAGGGACCCCCTGGGAGACGCCGCAGGGCTGCAGGCGCCTGTCGATTCCCTGCGTTTGACTTCAGGAGTCTGCCGCGTGTCCCAGCCATTCCGGGTGGCAACTTTTCCTGTCACCCTTTTTTTTCTCCCCCCCCCTCCAACCACCGAAGGGACGATAGAGTTGCTTTCCCCACACATGGAGAGCAGGGGGTGTGGGTTTCTACCGGTTCTGCCCACCTCTGTAGAAGTGGTAGCTCTGAAGAACAGCAGACATAGAACCGGTTCTATGACTGCTGGTGTTTGTGCCCACCTGGGCACTTACCTGATCTTTATTTCCCGCTTTCTCAACTTCAGCTGCCGTGTGAGGCACAGCTGCAGTTAAAAAAGCAGGAAAAGAGGGCTGTTTCAAAGGCTGCTTCTCAGGCAGCCTTGCTAATGACCTAATGAGGTGCTAATGATGATTTATGACAATTTACAGGCTCACAGCAGGCAGGGAAGCTCGTAAATCCGTAGTTAACCCTTTCGTATCCCACTCCTGATGGAGAGGGTTGGATTGGATCAGCATTCGTCCACCTTGGCAACATTAAGATGTCGGCCTTTAAGAATGGCTGGCTGGGGAGCTCCGGGAGTTGAAGTCCATACCTCAAAGGTGGAGGAAGCCGAAGGAGAGGGCCACTGCAGCCCCTTCCCACTCTGCCAGTTGCTCGCTGTTGCAAACCTCCGAAACGACGGAGCCCCCCCCCCCCCCCGGTTCTCTCCTCTCCCCACCCGGGCCTCTCCCCGCACCCCTCAAACGCGGCCTTTGCTCTCTTGCAGGAAGCGCCCGCTCTCCCCGCCGTCTAAGAGTTCCAGCAAGGTCACGAGCATCCCAGGCAAAGCGGCCGAGCCGGTCCCTCCAGCCGCCCCGGCCAAATCGGGCAAGTCCAGCACGTTGTCGCGAAGGGAGGAGCTCCTGAAGCAGCTGAAGGCCGTGGAGGACGCCATTGCTCGGAAGCGGGCCAAGATCCCCGGGAAAGTATAGTCCAGCGCTGGCCCGGCCCGGATCAGAGACTCGCCCGTGTTTTTATAAATAGCGTCCAAGCAGCCACTTTGGATTTTGCAGTTCTGTTTTATTTTGGCAGTGGCCCTTTTTAAACAAAAAAACAAAAAAAAAAGCAAAACCAACAACGAATTGGATAAATTTTGTCAGCTGGAATCCACCCCCCCACCGCCCACTTCCTGGGTGGGAGACGGTTCCCCCGACTGCCTCTCTCGCCCAGGTGCTGCTGGCCCCGGGTGCAAGTGTTCGCTGCGGTCGTTTTCCTGGTCCTGGTGCACAGTGGGCTCCTCACCGCAGCCTTGTCCGATGTGTCCTCCTCCTCCCCTTTCTCCTCCCCCACCTCTTTGCTAGCTATGAATTGCATCCCCCTAGTTAGCCACCGCGCTACGTGTCGCGTGTTGTCAGCCATGCACTTCTGCACACGTGTAAGAGGAGAGCCCCCCCCTCCCCAAACACCGTCCCCAGCCGGAAGCTCCCCCCTCTGCCCTTCCCCTCCCCTCCCCCCAGCTGCCTAGAGACCCGCGATGAGAAGATTCCATGTCTCTTTTATTTTAACCAAAAGATTGTTTTAGTTGATTTAAAGCCAGAAGAAAAACAAAAGATTTTGTCAGGATGTATGTCTAATAAGGAGGGAGGATTTTTTTTTCTTTTTTTTTTTCTTTTTTGAGGGGTTATGCTGAAAATAAAGTATTTTGATAAACATCTTCTTTCTTGGACCTCTTGTCTCTTAGGGTGCCAGATTGGGGTAAATCAAACTGAAGAAAGTCCAGAAGGGTCTGACAAATACGCAGCAGAATCGCCTCGTAATTTATTTTTTCATAGTTTATTAATCACCAAGAGTTTCCTTATTCTTAGTTGCTTTCCTCTTCTCCTTAACCCAGAGGTCCCCAAACTTGGCAGCTTTAAGACTTGTGGACTTCAACTCCCAGAAGGCTGGAGAATTCTGGGAGTTGGAAGTCCACAAGTCTTCAAAGTTGCTGAGTTTGGAGACGTCTGCCTCAGCCCAAGGTTATTGTTGTGAGGTCGATAAGAAGAGGAAGGTGTGTTCACTGCATTGAGAATAATAAAGGCAAGGAAGGAAGAAAATAAATGGAAAATAAGAGGGGGAAAAGGAAAGGAAGAAAGGAAAAGAAGACGGATCTGGTGACAGTCGTGCAGAACAGCTGTGTTGGTGCATGGGTAGCCAAAAGCCAGGAGTCGGGGGGCAGCTTATCCTAGTCAAAAAAAAGAGGGGGGGGGATTAAAAGGCAGAAGCTTTTATTCACCCAGTGCATTATTTGGTAAAGCGGCTGCCAGGCGCCTCCTGGTGAAGGTAAGCAGCAGAGCCTGGAATACGAAAGGCCTTGGATCCCATCCAGGGTCTTTTGAGGCCGTCCTCTGCATCAATTCCTGGAGACTTCCGGGACGAGCATCTGCAGAGCCAGATGTGCCGGGGGGGGGGGGCAGGAGCAATGCATGGCACACTCACACACACCCCCAGGAGAATCTTTGGAGAAGCCATTCAGGTCAAAGCAGGCTGGCCTTTCTCCAGCCCGGTGGCCCTGATGGGCCTTGGACTCCAGTCCCCCTAATTCCCAGCCAGCGAGGACAGAGGCAGCTAGGGCAAGGTGCCCCCGGGAAGATGTGCTCCCACTGCAACCTAGAGATCGCCTGGCCTGGCATCTCGGCTCCTCTTGCCTGCCCCCCCCCCTACCTCCCCCACCCACCCACCCACCCCAAAGCTCTCGGAGGCTATTAGGGTCCTTTGGCAACTCCTCTTCCTGCTTCCTCCGGCCTCACTCACGACGACGCAGTGTGACTCCATCCAAGCCACATGGAGGGGATTTCCCTGCAGTGGGCAAGTAGCAGCATGTCATGTGCTTGGGAGGGAATGACACACACACACACACACACACACACACAGAGGATAATGACAGGAGAGAGAGAGAGAGGGACAAAGGCAGCATGCGAAGCCGGTTTGTGGAGGTCGAAGAGCTCAGAGCCTTTTGCCTTTTCACCCAGTTTCAACATCCCTGCCACCCAGTTAACCCCTTCGGCATCTGCCACTCACTCCGCCCCCGGATAGAAACCTCGTCTAGCTGCCAAAATCAGGATCAGGAAGGTTGCTTCCTGCCGGGGCCCTACCGGGCCTACCGGGAAGGGGGGGGGGAAAGGGGGGCATCCCCCCCCCCCCCCCCCCCAGCAAGCTTTCACCAGCCGGAGACCCTCTTGAAACCAGGGAAAGTTCAGAGTGGGCAGAAACAGGCTTGGCAGGAAGAGGGTCTTTTCCATCATGGAATGAGCCAGTCCTGGCACGGCTGTCCTGGGCTTTCTCTAGCAGACGGGCTGGTGAACCTGCCAATCTGCATCTCACAGGTGCCGCTAGCACCCCAGGACTTCTCCAGGCCCTGACACCACCACCCCCCGGAGTTTGCAGCTCCTGTTCCCAGATGGCTTCAGGCATCACACTAACAGGGACCTTGGAGGTCTTCTAGTCCACCCCCCTGCTCAGGCAGGAATATATTATGTCAGAGGAATCTCGTCTTAAAAACCTCCAGTGATGGAGAACCCACAACTTCTAAAGGCAAGTGGTGGCCACCGGTTAATTGTTCTGTCTGGAAATTTCTCCTTGGTTCTAGGTTGCTTCTCTCCTGGATTGGTTTCCATCCATTGTTTCTTCTTGTCCTGCCCTCGGGTGCTAAGGGATGGCTTCTTCTCCTTCTCTCTCCTTCTCCCTTGAAAAAAACCCCCACACACCCCACACATTTTCCCCCCCCCCCCCCACTGCCTGGGGAGGAGCCATTTCTATCCAGCGGGAAGCCTTCAGCAAAGGAGAGATCTGAAAGAAAGCATGCCTGGAAGATGATTGTCCATCCATCTCCCTGGGATCCCTGCTCCAGCCAAGGATTTCCCTCCTTTCCCTCCTCGCTTTATCAAACCAGAATGGCCCAGTTCACACACCATTTCCAAGCCAGCAACCCATATGTTGGGTCAGAGTCAAAACATCCTTGAGGGATTCTTCTGTCCCAGCCTTCATTAGCCAGCTTTGGATGTCAGCCATGTTCTTGGGGTACCATCTCAGCTCGGCCACCGCTCAGCAGACCTGGGGGCTTCCCACTTCAACCCTTTTCTTCCCCACCTTCAGCCCACAAAACCATCTTGAAACAGGAAACCCACTTGAGGGCCTTTATTCGGCTTCTTCCCTCCTTCCGGGTCAAACTGGGCTTGCTCTCCCCTTCCCAAGCGTAGGCATTGAGGGTCAGCAGCTTTGGATGCTCCCAAGTCTTCGCGGTTGTTTGCCTAATTATCTCACTTATGCATGGGGGGGTGGGGGGGATGGAACCATTTGGGGAGGGACCAGTTTGGGGAGGTTTCCTCTCTTCCTTTCTTTTCAAGACCCCAGACTGGAACATCCGTTGCTTCCGCTTGGCCCAAAGAGAGTCAATGCCTCCACAAAGCGACCAGACCAAGTCGAAGGAAAACGCCACAGGGGTCTTCTACAGACGTTTGGAGAGGGGCTCCCACTTGCTTGGGAATTAGCAAACTGACAAGTAACACAAACAAACAAACAAAATAAATAAATAAATCTGACTTCTTCAGCTTCAACCACAATAACACACGGGCAAACAACGAATGCAAACTCAAAGTAAACCGCTCCAAACTCGATTGCAGAAAATACGTCTTCAGCAACAGAGTGGTCAATGCCTGGAACTCTGTTGTCACATCATCAAACCCCCAAAACTTTAACCTTAAACTGTCTATCATGGACCTCCTTACTCCATTCCTAAGAGGTCCTTAAAGGGGGCGTGCATAAGCGCACCAGCGTGCCTACCTTCGCTGTCCTATTGTCCCCATTTATTCGCACTCATTTATTATGTATATACTCATACCTGTTTATACTTATATGTTTATATGTTATGTTCATACTTACACTTGTCTCCTCATACATGCTTGACAGACTAAATAAATAAAATAAAATACATACATAAATCCAACACAGCACTTTTAAGTTACCCTTGCCTTGTTGCTTTTGGGAGAGGGGAGGCAAATACCTGCAAAAAAGTGTTCATCTTACACATTAGCTACAACACAAATACCTTTACAGGGAAACCTAGAGAAAAAAAAAAACCTGGATGTGTTTCCTGCTTCTCCCTTGCTCCCAATTTTCTCCTTTTTCCTGCTTCCTTTCTTTTTTTTCAGCAAGCCTCTATTACTAAATAGCCTGGGGCTTTCCATCCCACTTCCTTTTTCGCCCTGGAGATTCTCCTTGGAGATCACTGCTATACAACCACCCAATCTATTCAAACTCCAGGGGAGGTTTGCCCTCCCCGCCCCATGTTTGTTTCAAATTCTAACTTTAAATCTTAATTTCTAAATGAGATTTATTTCCAATACCTTGATCTGACCTCATCGGTTTGACTTTAAGTGTATCGCTATCCTGAAAATCAAGACGTGTCAAAAGATCAACCACAATGATGGTTAAAGCTGCTGAGTTAAAAGCTGTTAATTGATTGGATCCACATCACTTGGGATATTCAATTCACCTTTTCTGCGTGCCGGCATTTAGCACAAGCCTCACTTTCTTTGCACTGGCTTGTGAGCAGGTTCATGCAATGGAGACTTTCTATTTCCTTAATCTTCACCTTCCCAACAAGGGTTGGGTCATATAAAAGAAAGAGCCATTATTATTATTATTGGGAGGGGAGGCTTTTTTGAGCTGGTCTGGCTTGAGTGTCTCTAAAGAATCTTCACTCCCCCAGCCTCAAGTGGGCCAGGCAAGTAGGGTGAGCTATAATTTAATGGGGGAGAGAGAATGTCATGTAAGTGTAAACAAGCCATATTGTTTCTGGATTTGGGCACTCTATCTCAAAGAAGGTTTTGCATTTGTCTGAGGTTCATGAATCTTGATTTTTATTTAAATACTTTCTAAGTTTGCCTTCCCCACCCCACTATATATCTGAAAGCATCTTGTTTTTCCTTTCATTTAAACCCCTGCAAAAAAAAAAAAAACCAGGAAGACTTAGAAGGATAAGAAAAAGAAACACTAATTACTTAATTGAGATTCTTTTCAAAGAGATTGTCGGAGTATTTAAAGGAAACGAGATATCTGCATACACACATACAGGCGCATTTATCGAATTCAATACATCTGTTAGTTGAAAAATATGGATGCTTTGGAGTTTCACAAAAGTCTTGGTTTAGATTGGGAGAGACAGAAATCCCTTTAAACCAACAGAGTTGTTGGATCCTCCTTTGGTAGCCCATCACTGGTCTTTTATGCTTCCTCCCTGTCTGAGGAAGTTGTCGGCACCCCAAAAGAAGTCCAGGGCAACTTGAGACAGAATCACCCCTGTACCTCCAGGATAAGCCAAGATTAAATAGAAACTAAAGTAGCAAGTAAATTCATTGCCTGTAAGGCACTAGAGCAGGGATGGTCCAACCTTGGCAACTTTAAGTCTTGTGGACTTCAACTTCTGGAAATTGGAGCCCACAAGTCTTAGAATTGCCAGGGTTGGGCACCCCTGAACTAGAGAAATAAGAACATGTGCTTTTTAAAGTATGTATATATATATAAAAAGTATTGGAAGAATAGAAAACCAATAGGTGTTTTTTTTAGGAAGCCCCTATACCTGGTTAGTTCCTATCCTTGCCTGTTCCACCTCCCAAATGCTAGGCAGAGGTGGAAAACCCTGTTTGAGAGGGGCTACACTCCAGGTCCCATCATCCTGGCCCATCTCACACCAATGGCTGAAGAACATTAGCTACCCAAGCTCAAAGTGAGAAACTCTCAAGAGTGACTGCATAGGCCGCCCCGTTGGACAACTAAGGAGGAAATGAGTACACTCAACTATTTCCCCAAGGGGAGGAGGGGAAAAAAAAACTTGGAGTTTCCAGGCAGGCAACATCCCTGAGTATATAACAGGAGGCAGGTATCAAGGTGTCTCAGATCACTGCTCTTGCAACGGACTTCTTGCCTCGGAGCGGCAGCTGAGAACCGAAAACAGACTCCGGAGCATCCTTCGCTGCCTCTTTCCCGCCGGCTGAACAAAGATGGTAAGAAGGCGGCCTCTGCCACCACCAGGTGTGCGAAGGAAATGCCTCGAGGGCCAGTCGAACACCTGGCCAGAGATTCTGGGCAATTGGCCAGCGAAGTCAGCAAGGAGCGGATGGCCTCTGGGTCTGCCCACCTGCCGGTGGCATGGCAAGTGCTCGGATGTGCTTCAAGCACTCTGCACATGCTCCGCTCCAGGGGTGGCTAAGGCAAAGGAGCCTGCGGGTGCAGAGGGGAGTGGAAGTGGGTGGTGGAGTCTTCCAAGAGGCATCTTCTTCTCCTTCGTCCATCACTTTCGGGAAGTGGCCTTTAAAAAGGCAGAGCATCTCACGTTGCTAGCCGTCTAAAAATCGGATGACGCTCTCTGATCGTAAAAATATCTTGGCTTCTTCTCCGTCGCCCTGGCCAGACAATTTTATGGTCGCTTGCCTAAAAGGAAGCAGCAGAGCTTATTCTCTAGAAAGTACAAAGGGCAGAGGCTTCCTGGAGTGCATTCTGTTCTAATGTGGATAAGAAAATGTGTTTTAAATTAATTGTGTTGGTACAGTTGTAAACTGGAGAGAGAAGCTTTGTGGTTTAATTCCTGATCACATAGCTCAGGGAATGGAGATCAATTAAGCAGGAGTAGCTCCACTCAAAGGTGACAGATGCTCCTTTCTGTTGTAAACTCGATAGTCCCAAAGGTGCTTTTTCCTTGAGAACTGAAGAAGCTTCTTGGATGAGAAGCTAAACGTTTTCAAGGATAAAAACCAAGAAAGTCTAGTTGCCTTTTGGAGAAAAAAACACCTTCCTGGATGACTGAGACTCTCCATAGACTTATTTGACTGTGTAGACAAGATACTTTCGAATTTAGAATAGCAGAGTTGGAAGGGACCTTGGAGGTCTTCTAGACCAGCCCTCTGCTTAGGCAGGACCTATAAACTTGATCAAGCACTAACATCTCAGATGATTGGACAAAAATAGAATGCAAGCCAGAATTATTTATAGTAGGAATCGAGAAATCCCCCTAGAAGGTGAAGTGATAAAGAAAATACTGAGTTGTGCAGAAATGGATAGACTGATTTTGGAATTGTAAAACAAAGGCGAGGCAGAATACCATGAGATATGGAATCAATTTTATCAATGGTGGGAACAGACCGAAGGGACCCAGAATAAAAATTAATCAGGATTTGTAGAATGGACAGTTGAGGTTATGTATGTAATTATAACTGAATGTGATGGATATAAAATTAGTAGCACAGGAGATGTTATGAATGGATAAGTTAACGGTATAAATGTATATCGTATACTTTAATATGCATAGCAAAGATGACGCTAGGACAGGCACACTGTGTCCAATATTTTAATGTGTAATTAATAAAAAATTAAAATTAAAAAAAAAAACCTGAACATCTCACTAATCCTTTGCTGGGGGGCAGGAAAGAGTAGTGGAAAGTGGACCCCCCCCCGGAGCCCCCTTTCACTTCCCTCTCTTGGCCCCTCCAGTGGTCCCTCCTGGTTGCCTTCCTGTGCCTTGCCTGGGCAGATGCCAAGCACGTGGGGTGCTTCACCGCGGAGGAACTGGCAAATGACCCGATCCCGGTGCAGCTTCGGAACTGGGTCCCGCTGTTGCAACACCAAGACTGCGTGCAGCTGGTTCCGTTCCTGCAGAGTGAGCAGAACAGCCGCTCCCCCTCCCAGAGGCAACACGGCCACAGCTGCCCGAACCTGAAGCTGCAGGATATGCAGAGCGACGAAGTGCACAAGCGCTCCATCTCGCCCTGGACATACTAGTAAGACCTTGCCTGGCGTGTGGGAGGCAGCCGGGGAACCTGCCGGGCCAGGGGGGGGGGTTGAAAGGCGGCGGCGGGGGGGGGCTCAGACTGCTCCCACATCTCCTCCTTTGCCCACTTCAGGCCCCTTCCCTTTCCTGGCCGGGATTCCACCCAGGTGTCCCTGGATCTCAGCCCTTGGTTGGCTAAGACTCCCCGGGTTCATGCCATTTCCGGAGGCCAAGCCCAACAAGCCCCGTGATGGCTTGGCCCTCTTGGGTGATGGCGTCTCCTTGGGGATCTTGTGGCTCAGGAAGGATGGAGAAAGATTTACCAGATTGACAGAGTTGGAAGGGACCTTGTAGGTCATCTAGTCCAACCCCCACCCACCCGAGCAGGAGACCCTACACCAGTTCACCAAGGGAAGCATGGCATCCTTCTAACCGCACTCTTTCCTCTCCCTCCATCCACAGCATCGATGAAGATGAGAACCGCTTCCCCCGCCAGCTGGCCTTCGCCCGGTGCAGCTGCAAAGGTTGCATCGATACCAAGTACGGCCGGGAAACCACCAACCTCAACTCGGTGGAAGTCAAACAGAGAACCATGGTCTTTCGCCGTAAGGCCTGCCCGCCCAACGACAGCGGCGTGGAGAGGTTCTTCTTCGAGAAGGAATACGTGGAGGTGCCCGTGGCCTGCACCTGCGCCGTCCCGCGTTACCGCAACTGAGCAGACCCCAGGCTGGTCCTTGGGGCTCCGGCCCACGTCCCTCCTCCCTCCAGCTTCATCAGAAGAACAGTTGTGTTCGTTCTCAAGCATTGGTGCTTTGCAGCCAGTGGCTGCACCCCCTCCTCTGGGAAGGGCAAGCCTGGCCTAGAAGCCCCCCTCCCATTGAGGGGCCATCCAACCAGAAGCTCCTTAAAAAAGCATTTTACTCTCTTAAGGAGAGACCAACAGATGAAAAGGAATTCCTGCTTATTTATTTGTATTTATGTTAACGTATTTTCAAGATGTGCTTCAAGCTATTCTATTTATTACTCCCGATGAAGTGGGGCCAATTTGCAGAAGAAACCTTCCCTACACCTCCATGTCCCTTTGCGGGGGGGGCAGTTTTCTTAGCTGTCCCAGGGCCACCCCAGCACCCCAACATTCTGAGCCAGCCTTGATCTGCCTTCTGGTGCGTGTGGGGAGTCCTCTGGGGCTCCTTCACAGAAGGGAGACATTGCACGGATCTCACGGGGTGGATGGGAGGCCCTGCCTTCATTTTATCCCTAAGGTGGGCTGAGATGGGAAGTGGCTCCTAATCGCCCCCCTTCCCCCAGGAGCTGCTACGGCTGGACTGAAGCAGGTCCCTTCCTGGTCTTGCCCCAGGGGGCTCTTAGCTGAGCTTCACAGATGCTCTCTGAGATAAACCTGGTTGGGGAGGAGGAGGGCTGCCCCCACCCCACCCCCATTTATTTCCTTGTTCTGATGAGGCCTTTGCTCCCCTCTCGTATTGTAAGGTGATTTAAATTATTGGATTATTTATATGTATTTATTGTAATGTGATACAATATTTATTGTTCCTCGGGGTTGGACACCCTGCATTAATAAAGATTCTATTTCTGTACTGAAACCCTCTGATTCGGTTGGCTTTTATTCATCACAGGGGAGCAGGATTGATATTCCAGAGAGAAGTGGCAGGTCTCGGTGCCCGCTCTTCCTCAATGGCACCGAGGCTGGCGGTTGCGATTTGGGGTGTTTTTTGTTTTTTTAAATAATGGTGATCGTGATGATGATTTCTCAGCCATTTTCAACCTGGCTGGATGGTGCAAGGTATATTTTATAGTCAACAGATAAATTTAAAGCATCGACCCAAAATAAAAAGAGCAGCATTCTCAAAACTGGTTTGTTTATTGAACTAGTTAAAATAAGCAAGGGAGCAATTAGACGTCACATATTAAATGGAGGAATTTAATAAAGCCTTGTAAGTCCAGAACGATAAAATACACCAAACATGGAAGGGGTGGTAAAATTAATTCATTCAATTAAAAGGGATGCTCCTGGGAATGTTTGACTCAAACTTGATGTATGCACGATTTGTAGAAACAGGATCTTTCTGATTCGCTTTGAAAAGGAGAAAAGCCCGACTTGTTCAGAACTGAAACGAGATGGAAAAAAGGATGCCAGGAATGGTAGAATAAAAGCATCAGCTTGGGGGAAACGGTGGGTGCCGGTTTCAGCAGAGTGGGGGACAAAAACTTGGGGGAAAGGGGGCAGAAGTCATGGGGTGGCTGGTAAGACCCCTGAACAGGGGGGATGCAAAGGTCCTGCTCTCTTGTGGGCCGACTTGGGGTCAAAATAAGATGGATTAGGAGGAAGGGAGAGGAGAGCGAGAGAAGGAGTGGGGGCGGCAGGGAGAGACAGAAGGGGGGTGGGTGCTTTAGCCCCAACTAGGACCAACTTGATATCTTCTACGGGGGGAAAGAGACGAAGCCGAGAGCTTTGCTGGCGTGGCCCAGGTCTGATGTGATCCAGGAAGCTTTGGAATCATTTTTTATTTCAGCATTTCAAATTTTACACCTTTTCTTGACATCTTTTCAAATTTAAATCCAGCCTCAGAAAACTTTATGTCTGTGTACTTAAAACTAATTTCCATTTTTGTTCATCCTCCGGGCTTAAACTCAGTATCAGTTGTGAGTTGGCAATTATTGGCATGCAAGCCCGGTCTGTTTCAAACATACATGCGGGGGGGGGGGGGGGGGGGGGAATCAGCAGGGGCGGGAAAGGGAGGAAACATAAGAGAAAGACCACCGAAGACCCCTCCCACCCGAGGGGCTTGCAGGAGTTCAGGTAGAAGCCCCATCCTCCTGCTTGGGAAAGATCTGGCCCGAGTTTCAGTCCTGGAGGGTGTCTCCCATGCCTGGGTCAAACAGAAGTGGTGCCTCCCTCTCCGACTGCAGTCTATCTGATGGGGGAGACGCCTAAGAAATCACTTCAATAGGGTTTTCCTGGCCTGTTGGCTCTTCCTCCTTTTGCTTCTTCCGGGCCTCTGCAGGGGGTCGGGGCGGTGGGTTGCTGGGGGGGTGCTTAATGGTGCCCCCCACTTGGGGTCGCTCTGGAGGCTTTGCTTCAATGGGGCGCCACTCTTCGCCACGTATGGCAGCCTAGAGAATAAAACCAGAGGGAAAGGAAGGGAAATTAGGAAACACTGACTTTCAACATCTGGTGAAAACCCAAACAAGATAAAGTATATATGGAAGAAACTGAACAAAAAAATGCAATGTAATTAATCCAATGCGATAAAGAGCTACAGCTGGGGCATCCAACCTTGGCCGCATTAAGACTTGTGGACTTCGACTCCCAGGATTCCCCAGCTAAACTTTGGATTTTAATCTTTGTTCACTGATTTATTCACTCAAGGTGGTTTGGAAACGCAAGCAACCAAATACTAATTTGACAAATATCATTTTAGAGCCAAAAATGCACATACCCATTTCTTGTCACCAAAAACTCATTCACAAAAAAAACACCTCATTCTTCAAAAAAGAAAAAATCGTTTTAAGTGTCCTACCCGTTCCAGCCAGGAGATGGCGCAGGAGTACCGCCAAAGGCTTGTACAGGTAAACTTTTGCCACCTGGAAGGACTACCTTCAATTTTGGCTAAATTAAATAATAGACAGACTGACTTAACTCATGAACAACCCACTACATCTCAAGTGGCTAATTAGTGAACACTAAAAGGGTGGCATCCTTTAGAATACAAAGGGAGGATGGATCTACTACAGGTGACTTCAGAGTTATATATTCATATAGTTTATCTCTCTCTGTGTCCAAAATCCTCTATAAAAATTCTCTTGGCTCTTTGAAAAGAGCTAAGAGAGATGAAAGCTAATTATGGGAAGCACGATTATCTGGCAGCCACTTACCAGTAAGTAGATGCCACTCGCTATGGCCAGGCAAACGGTGCCAAGGATGGTGGCTAGCAAATATCCTGCAGGAACTGCTAGGCTGCCAAAAGGAAAGTTTAAAGGAGAAAAAAGTCAGCTAGGAATGCAGCCCCTGCGATTATGAGAACCACAATTTCATTTGGCAAGGTTTGAGTTTGGCTCTCCAGAAAACCTTCCATGACCAATGCTATCAAATCAACTTCCAACTGACACCTGGTCAGCACCTGATTTTACAACCTTTTTTGCAGCAGTCATTAAGTGAAGCCATTGGTGGGGTGGGGGTTGCAGAAACTGGGAATTAATATTGATTTCTGGGGGGGAAATGTCACAAATCCCAGTCACGTGACCACAAGATATGGCAAATGGACATAAATGTGGTTTTAAGAAGCGGTCACATGACTGTGGGGGGGGGGAGGCAGACGTCATAACTTTGAAACTGGGCCATAAATAGCTTTTGTCCATTGTAACATCAAATTGTTGCTAAGCAACCGGCCAAGAGTCGAGGACTACCTATGAGTATCTTCACCCTCCTTCCCATTCACACCTGCAACCTTACGCCCTGAGCAGGACAGCTGCAGCTGAAAATCCTGCCCTGGGTTGGCAAGGTGAAAAGTCTGAAAATGGTTGGGATGCAAATTACCATGCGTGGAGAACGGCCCGGACATAATAATTCCTTGTTAGGGGTCCACAGCTCTTCACAGCCGCTGTGAAATACTTCTGGCCACTGCAGGAAATCAGAATAAAGAGACAGCCAAAGAAGAAAGCACAGAATTAGATGCCGAGTTCAAGGGAAGAAGCATTCTGTGACACTCCAAAAAACACACCCTTTTCCATTTATCAGATTCAGAATAATAACAGGATAACAGTTGGAAGGGACATTGGAGGTCTTCTAGTCTAACCCCCTGCTATACCATTTCAGACCAGTGGCTGCCTAGTCTCTTCTTAAAAACCTCCAGTGATGGAGCGTCCACCACGTCTGGTGGCAAGCTGTTCCACTGATTAATTGTTTTCACTATTAGGAAGTTTCTCCTTTTCTAGGTTGCTTCTCTCTCCTTGCTTCTTGCCTAGCCTTCTTGTCTTGATAAATGCAACAGGGCTAGCTAACTTAATCTCACCCTGTAGATTCCCTCAACTCAACTTTAGAAAGATCCAGATTGATCTGGACATCCTCCGTTTACATCGTTTACTCTGTAAGTCTAAGCAGCAGGGAGGAGTAGAGAATAATCACATCCTTCTGTGTTTGGCAGCATGAGGACTAGAAACTTCCTCTTCGCTTTAGAGAAAGCCATGTTTCCCAGCAGACTAACTTCTTCCTACGGTCAAGAAACGCAATACTCACCACCTCTCTAGAGTGGATCCCTTTTTCCTCTTCCCTCGGGGATACTCCAAGAAGCAAACAAACACCCCTGCAACTCTTTAGAGAAAAAGGTTAAGGACAAAAAAATAAGGATTCTTTTGAAGGCTTCTCCAAGACAAAGAAAAATGTTCAGGACTACACGAAACAACCCAGGCGGTTCATTTTAAGCAGGGGGAGGCATTTGGGGCAGAAACCAGTTGGCTCAAAATTTAGGAAGGGTCAGGTCCACAGGTGATATGACAATGAGAATACATTTCCCACCTGGCCAGAGTCCATGCCATCCCCACTATGGGAGAAACACCAGGAAGAGAAGAAAAAAAACATCTTATGGAGATGAATCTGGCAGTGAGAGGGAACAGTCCCTTCAAAGCAAGATGGGCAGCATACAAATTTAAGAAATAAATAAGAATAAGGCCTTCTCCACCCCACCCCACCCACATCTCCTGGGGGTGGGGGAAGGAGATGGAAAGTGTTATAAAAATAATTCAGTAAAAGAAATACACAAACAAACCACAGGCAATAAATCTTTCTTTGAGATCAGAGGTTTATTTCACGAGCAATTTGGAACATGAAAAGCCATCATAGCATAACAACATTTCAGTAAGATAATACTTACTAACATCCCATTGCAATGAGGTCCAGGGATAGTAGCTAAGTCCAGCGAGGAATAGCTACCACTGGTGGCCCTGATATGAGATTTACCCCCTTCTTTTATACCCTTTTTCTGAAGCCCACCCAGTAGTATGTAATCTTACTGGATGTACCTCAGACTGACTGAAAAGTGGGCAAAACCAGCCAAGCGGCTTGCTGGGTTGGGCTGGCTGAGTGGTAGACCCCTGGGACCTAAATCTTGGCACGATTCCTATTTCATTTTTGCTGCTCCTTGTTGGGGGCCAAAGAGACCGTCCTTCCACCAGCATCTCCTGGTAGAAGCATCTTTCGATTTCTCTTTTGGAAACCGAGAGACGTTATTATTGCAGAAACGTTCCCAAAGATTGTGGCTGGTCATCAAGCTTGTATTTGCCAGTCTGAAAATCCACCATGGCTTCAGATTGGGTCAAGTGGGGTGCAGATTCTTGGCCAGATTCGTGTGTCTTCTTTCACAAACCCTGGCTTTGGCCCCGTGGGCGAAACCACCCCACGTGGGCTCCCTTCCTCGTGATCTCGGTGGGCTCCTGCTGGCCTCGCCTTTCTCATTCTTCTTCCTCTCTGAAACTTGGCAGAAAACCCCGAAGAGCAGAGTTACCAGCAACAGAGAGAAAATGCAATTTCCTGGCCCCTATTTGGCCAATAGGACCTGACCTTCTCTCTCCCAACCTACTCACAGCCACAACATTTCCAAACTCTTCAACCACAAACATTCCAAATTTTGCAATCTGACTCTGCAAGAAGCAAAGCTGTCTGGCTTCCTTAATTTTTCTACTTTCTGTCTTGGAACACCATCCTCATTGAACATCCTCCATGTTGAATATTTATTTATTTGTATCCTGCCTTCATTATTTTTGCAACTAACTCAAGGCAGCACACGTATCCAGCACACCTTCTTCGTCCTATTTTCCTCACACCAATTACCTTGTGAGTTGGGTTAAGCTGAGAAAGATTGACCCAAAGCCGCCCAACTGGCTTTCATGACGAAGGCAGAACTTAACATTAATATGGATATAATTTTAAAATAGATATAGGCAACTAGGTGTTATTTGTCCTAGCAGGCTGCAAGGGAATAGAATTTATACAATTATCATATGTTTACAAAAGGATACATTGCATAAACCGCAATCTCCCATCTTTTGAATTGGCCTGAAACAGCCACGATGCCACCGGTCACTAAAACTGAAAAAGAGAGAGAGAGAGAATTTTTGTTTGTTTGTGATTATTCACTTTCTATCCACAGTGTATTTTTCGGATCCAAAATTAAGCAAACTGGGAAAATGTGTCAACTCCTGAGCCCATGTGACACCGCAGATCGTGTGGATATACATGTTTAGCCTTGCTTTTAATCTCCTTGTTAAAAAAAAAAAGAAACAGATGTACAGGTAGTGCTTAACTTATGACCACAAGGAGCCCCAAATTTGTTTCTACATGAGACAGTTGTTATAGCAATAGCACTTAGACATATACACCGCTTTGCAGTGCTTTTACAGCCCTCCCTAAGTGGTTATATGAGTTTTGCCCCATTTACGGCCTTTCTTGCCAGTTGCTAAGTGAATAACTGCAGTTTGCTTGTCAGAAGGTTGAAAAGGGTGGGTGGGACTCCAGCCCCCCCCTCCTCCTCCTCCCAAGAGCCAAGTGCCCAATGTCCCGGGATGCTTAAGGCCAGAGGGTGGGGAAGGATAAAACGGAGCAGAGGGCGGCACTGATGCTCTGTGCTGCGACATTCAGTTGTAGGCATGGAAGGGTGGGGTGTGTGTGGGGGCCTCCCTGGGGATTCCAACTCCTGGAAGCATCAGGATCCTGGGCTGGGCTGGGGGTCTTTTTTGCTCCCTTCCTGTGGCTGTTAGGATTCAGTGCAGGCACGGAAATGCAGGCAGTTGCTTTGCTTGCCCC